TGAGCGTGGTGTGAGTGGTTAAGGTTAGGGTAAGGTGCTAGGAAATGCATTATGTCAATGACAGGTCCCCAAGAAGATAGTGCCACAAGGCTGTGCGTGTGTGCGTGTGTCTGCTCATACATGTGTCGCTCCCACAAAGCAAGATTCACATAAAAGTGCATTTTAAAGTTCCTTTCTATTGATACATGCATACTGATAAAGATGCTAAAGTTTCAGAAACATCAGTGATTGCCCTTGAAGCAATTCCATTAGAATTACAATCATGTACAGTTTCTAACTGCAAATAATCATTACCAAGCAAGGACTGAACAGCTTTTAGTAAAAGCACACCAGAACCCACTGCCATAAGGACCCTCAATTTTATCTTTTAATTTCAGATGCTGTGTGCAGTGCTGGTAGTTTCTTGGGGGCATGTGGATAAAAAAAATGCTGATGGTTGGTTAGTACAGACACCTGCCTCAGGTATTGCATGTTCCACTTCTGGACTGATTCCTGCTATCTCCATAACAAACAGATACATAAATGAGGCTGCTGCTACTATGTGTTTGATTGAGCAAATAAATATTTGATCAAAAACAGTAATCACTTGCATTCTGTTTGTTATATCACATACAGCCATTAGCTGTGTTAAAAGCCTCTGCTTCCGCAGGATTTAGTGTTTTTGGGGCACGGAGCATAGAGTCCTTTTCCAGCCAAGTCAGCTGAGAGCATGCATGTCTGACACTTCTGCTGGCTGAGCCAGCTGACTTCATGTGGCTCACCACACACAAATGTGATAAAATAATTTCATTATATGCATCATCTAGACTTTCCAAACGTTATTGGACCCTATAGATCCAATTCAGATAATAAAAAAGAATAATTTTGGTTGGTCTGTGATGCTCAGAAAAATGTATTTACCATTTGACAGCTTCTCCTTTTCTGACAATTGTATGTGAGAAAAATAGCCAGTGTGCATCACATGATGAACCCAGAGTTGCAATGCACGGTGTGTCAACTACAAAATAGCTTCAAAGCCCAGCACCATTTCCTGGTGGCTTGGTATGGACACTACTAATCTTTCTTTTCCGATCTGTAGCTTTTTGACATGCAGCTTGAGATATCAGTTTTTCTTTTTAAGAATTGTCCCTAACTGTACTGATTGCACTTACACCACAGTGCAAGTCAGACCACCTGCAGATGTCATCCAGGTGCTTTCAATTGCAGTGTGTTCATTTACACCTAAAAACACAAAAGTTCCTTATGTAGTAAAATAATACCCAATGTAAATGGGGTCTTATGGAATGGACTGTGATTACATGTGTGTATGAATATGTGAATCCAAAAAATTACATTTACTTTCAAGTCAAAACTTTAGTCTCAAAAAACTTGGGGAACTGGACAGAAATATGTCAAAGAACCAGAGTATCTATTGTAGGGAAGAATAGAATAACACCTTCATGTTATATTCATAATAATTTATCTATATGATGCGTCTCAATTTGAGATGCATCAGTCTTTCTTTTTTTAAAACCCCCATTTCCATCTTGTCAGTCCTTCTGCATTGTATAAGGTCAGTGTAACAGTCATGTAAGTTATCCGTTGCTGAGACTTACTGAGAGTAAACAAACAGAACAGAGGTAAGAATCAATAACTCATGGCCAGATAGCACATGTTGCAACTTCCTCTGATAGACAGGCTCCAAACAAAAAGTGGGAAAAATGTAGCTGTGAAATCTCTTAAGTCAACATAATTAGCATTTTATGGACACGTTATTCCTAGTGTCCTCATGCAATGGAGTATATGTAAACATGCTCTCAGCAGAATAATGCTGTACACAGTTGTATAGAGAACAGCAGAAAGCTATATATACTATTTTTAGCCAAATCTGTGACCTTACACTGTATGTGTTCACATTGTCATCCCAGTTATGTGACAAGTTGCAGTTTAAAACCAATGCAGGATCCTCTGATCTGCACAATCTTCATCTCAGAGGATGGTGAAAATGTTTGGAATTGACAAGCCAGATAATGAAGACAGTTTCCTCAGCACACAACCAAAGATCTGTTTAAATGCTGCATCTCCTGGAAAATGTCTGCAAGTTTTTTAGTATGTAGCAAAGCTGTTTGCTTGAAAAGGTGCTGTTCTCATAAAAGATTAATAGACGCCTAGTGGCCCTGAGGCGCCCAAGCCAACAACGCAGGATTCATAAATAAAGCTAAATGGATCAATATTTTCAAGACTTTAGAGGTAACCTATGGCTACCCCTACCTTGAGAGAGAAAGCTTTGAGAAAGGTTAGGTTTTAATCGAAGCCTTCCCCCAGTAATAATAAAGAAACTCTGGTATTTAATCATCAGAACTGTGTGGTAACGTACCTAAATCCAGAAACTGATTCACATGCTGTGAAAGAGAGGAATTCAGGGACTAAATCTTCTTTAATCATAAAAGTAAACGACCAGTTTAATATTACTCTATTGTAATTATCCTCACCAAACTGCAGAGTTATTGAGCTGATGCCAAATCCCTTTTCTGTTGAAAGGAAACAAGGAACAAAGTATGGATAGTCTCTGAATTGTGGCCAAGGCATTCATTGTCTCAACAAACAACATCAGAGGCTCATTAATCAACTTTTATTGAATCAAAGTGGCAAAGCAGAATGACATATTACAATGGGAAGGAAGACTCACATGACAAATATGACAATTGCCTGTAGTTTGTAAAGCCATTATCTTGGCAGCATGATGTTGATAATTATTATGCATGTTTTTATTGTACAAGCTGTACAATCACCAATTAACCTCTAACAAATACATTCACATTGTGTTTATTTGGGATTTGTCTACCTTTATTTGATACTGTGTACTTTGTGCTATGTTAGCGGGAAACTAAATGTTTGAAATACAGTAGTACTGCATACCTACAGTTTACTTTCTTATGTCTTTAAAAAATATCATCAAACTGTATTTTATAGTTTCTGTAATACCAAGATATCTATAGATTTGAAATATGATAAATTGTTATTTTGTTCTACCTACCCAGCAGTTGATAAAACAGTTATCTCCGCCTCGATCAGCTACAATATTAAAATGCTGCATACATGATGGTAACAAAAATCCAACAAAACAATGACAGGAATCAATCTGCTGTATCATGAGTACATTTTGCTGCAAGTTTTCTTCTTAAAGTAAGTTTTACATATAAAGGTGCATTTTTATATTGTAGTATTACAATATAAAAGAAAAGTATTACACTTTTACTTAAGAAGCAGATCTGAATATGTCTTCTACCACAATAATATCACATACTTTACCTAGTTTTCCTTCCATAGTTTTTGAAATGTCATGAAATTGTATTTGCTTGCTTCTGTAATACCAAGATTTTGACAGATTTAACACACATAACCTACATTTCAGTATTTTCTGTCCTTTCTTCATTGTTGTGTTGCCGTTAACAAGCTAAATGTCACACAGTCTAGTGTATAGTAGATGTGCATTTATCACAACAGGCTGTTTTTAATACTTGGTATTTGTGATACAAGAAGGGCATCATGTTTGCATTCCTAAGCTAAAATGTTCCTCTTACTAAAGTCATGTGCAAACGCTCCTGGACAGGAAAATAACAACTCTTGCTGACTCATCCATGTGTGTTTTATTCTTTTGTTTTTCTCCCAAGGGGACTAATGCCACGGACGCTAGACAGCCAGATCACATTAGAAAAGACTCCAGTTACTTTGTCACCAGAGAGGCACCCAGACGCATCTCCAACATGTCCCATGGGACCAAGCTGATTGTTGTGGTGCGTAACCCAGTCACAAGAGCAATCTCCGACTACACGCAGACTCTTTCCAAGAAGCCCGACATCCCTACGTTTGAAGAGCTGGCCTTTAAGAACCTAAGCCTTGGTCTCGTCGACTCTTCCTGGAACGCTATTCGGATTGGGATGTATATTCTGCACCTGGAGAACTGGCTGCAGTATTTTCACCTTTCGCAGATGCATTTTGTGAGCGGGGAGCGGCTGATCACGGATCCGGCAGGGGAAATGGGCCGCGTTCAGGACTTTTTAGGACTGAAAAGAATAATCACAGACAAGCACTTCTACTTTAATCGAACCAAAGGCTTCCCCTGTCTAAAGAAGCCGGAGAGCAGCAGCCAGCCGCGCTGCCTCGGCAAATCCAAGGGCAGGACTCACGTACAGATCGACCAGGAGGTCATAGATCAGCTGCAGGAGTTTTATAGGCCATTTAATATCAAATTCTATGAAACTGTGGGACAAGACTTCAAGTGGGATTAAGAGTGCCGTACAGAAACAGGGCTGTTTTTAAAATGGCTACCTCTGGAGACATTGAAATACAAATGAGAGTGTCTTCAACAAAATGTGTTCAAATGACTTGAATTGAGCTATGTATAGATTGACAAAATTTATATAGAATAAGATACAACTCAGACATTAAAATAAAAACATATGAAAGGTGTTACATACTGGAGTTGGGTCACAACAATTGCCATTTCTTTAAAATATATATATACAAAACCAAGTGTTCTTGACATATGGATTCATCAACAGGCAGGGTTAATGATTAACCAAGTCAATAGCAAGCAATAATCACAATGCCTTCATGTCATTTAGTCACACCAGACCTACATTAATGACGTTGTTTGAATATTCATTGCCTAGATTGCTTATTTATTCATAATTTCTGCACAAACTGAACCAGCAGCTTTGCCATTAAAATGAGCTCTCAACATGAAGTTCCAGCAAAATGTCAAATGAATAATCAAATCAGCCTGTTAATTATTCTGCAATGAAACTTATTGACAAAAGTTCATAGGCAGCAGTGACAAATATGCTGAATAAATGTACTATAACTGAGAAGGAAAACTCAATATGTAAAGATAGATGCTATAACACTGATAAAGGTTTACTGCTTGTTGAATTTCAGCTCTTTCTGTGTCAGTATTTTTGTTGTGATCATCCAAATAAAAGGCAGAATTCTTAAATTCAAGTATTTATTTGAAATATTTTCTACTACATACCTACACGTAAAGTAAGTAGCAGTGTTTTTTTCTTAAGATGCCAAGTTATAGTATGCAGTGATATTTATTCCCTAAATGTGTGGTGTATTCTTGTCCTCCTAATATAGGTCAGTATCTAATGTAACAAAACAAGTGCAGCACATACATTTTGGGGTTTTCATAACACCTGATGTCAGTCTCTGTGACAGGTACTTAATTCATAACCTAATGACTCATGCTAAAGTTACTAAAGTCTATATCAAAGCTTGCAACCTGCCCCATCTTCAAAGTTCTCCACACAAAAGTTACATTCAGAATTCATGTGATTTAGGAATTTACCTGCACATTTGAGCATGACTTTCACCCCCATCTCCTGGCCATATTTCAAGGAATTAACTTTTGTATTGAGCCTGTTGAAAGATATATCATTCCTTACCAAATGCTGCCATGCATGTCATTGATCTCATTAACTTTCAAGATTCCTCTTTTTGATGGATTTGATCATTCTCTCTCCTAATGGGTCTTCATGCTAACCAGCTAGATTAACCTCCTGAATTTGCGCCCTGAAACCAATCAGAGTTGTCATTAATAATTTCCAGGCCCCCATAAAAAAAGATGAAGAAAAGTGCAGAAAATCAAGGAATCTATAAAAATATAATAAAACTACAAATTAAAAATGTGCAAATTTATGTTGCAGTGTTGATGCAATGCAATACAGACAGCAGCTATTAGAAAAAACATACCTCCTCATTTCAAAAGATTCCAAAACTGCATTCACTTGTAATTAATTGTTCTAAGAGGAATTTATTGAAAATATATGTTATTATGATAATCTACGCAAAGCACAATGGATGAAACTGCCAAGTTAAGCTTCTATGGTAATGATGAAACCGTGTTTGAAAACTTTCTTCCATAGGTGTCACACTTTCATTGTTTAATCTCCCGTTGCACAGCTGTGAAGTGAGCAGCCCTATCTAATCACAGCTAGACTAATGTGCAAATGTGACAATGTGACCTTCTATATTAAGGAAATTAGATATTCACTTGCATTCCAACTGTGCTCTTCCAGCCCGTGTGTTTTAGCCAACAGCAGTTTAAACTGTCATTTATGATAGTCTCCATTAACTTTTGATTAACCTGCCAATGCCGTCTGCAGCTGCCTGCTATTTAGTGAGCCATCAGCAGACACACCAGTTTAGCAATAAGCTCAATTTTATCTCAGTTCAGTTAATTATAACTTTTCCCCAAGAATGCTTAGGGCTTGATGACATGGCACTGAGAAAAAACTCCCACACCGCTGCCACCGTATGATACCCAATGAATTCTATGATGTGTTATCAGCCCTGCATATGGCTACTTTCACGTAACTTCTGTTGATGAATATCAGATGAACTTTTTGGGGAGTATTCATGTCTGCAGAATGCAAGACATGTTGCAGAGAGAAAAATGGCCGCTTTCAAAAGTTCTGCACAACTTTTTCTCAAATGCTTGTGCTTATTTCATTTTTATGCTTCTTTGCAGTATCGAAGGTGTCCTACGCCTGCAATGTCACAACATGCAGTTGTGGCAATGAAAACACACTGTTTATTGATGTATTTAATGTATCAACCCCTCATTATGAAAGAACAATGTGTTCACTGGGTATCTGACTGACCATTCTAACCTTCAAAGTAAATACCATAGAAGCTGTTGTAAATGTCATGAACTTTGAAAGACTCTGAGGTCAAATACACCTCTGCCACTCATCAGAAATGTCAGTACACAATAAAATCAATTATCACAGAGTCCAATAATTTTCCTTCTCATTAAAAAATTCAAATATGTGTTCTGAGTCACCTTATATGGACTCCAAAGCTGTAGAGGTCTTTCATAACTCCTGCCTTGAAAACCTATTGAAATTCTACCGAAGCTCCAACCCTGAAACTTTACAAGCCTGTCTGTAATCTCTGTATTATGGGGACGACATCTGAAGAAAAAAAAAAGCTGCAAATGTTCTGTGTCCCAGAAAGCACAGTGACTATAACCGGCTTCAAAAAACTGCATCAAAATGCTCAAATACAATGATAGAAAAAGGCTGAGAATATCTTACAATATTTATTGTTATTATAATGTACCAAGTTTGCTGCTATTTTTTTTCCGGATTTCACTTGAAATTTTAAGATGTAATCTAGCTTGTTTCTTACTGGAATGTGTAGTTTCCCCAAGAAGACTTACATTTGGGGGACAGTGTTAAAGTATTTATATCGAGACATCTCCTTGTCCCCTGTAATGAGCCAAAGCTATGGAGGATAATGAGGATCTTCCTTTTTTTCCAATGGACAATGAGAAGAGCAGACTTCCCTTTAGATGATTTGAAACTTGGCAGCCAGAAACCCCCAGAGGAAATCTCATTAAATACTAAAATCGCATATGAGCTAACCTCTACCTGCATCAATGCACCTTTTGAATATGTCATCATTCTCCAAGGTTTCTCCAGGAACATGTTCTATCACTGTGTACCATACCTCAAGCTGTTCCTCTAAATTAAAAGATGTACCCAAAAAATGGATTTATATCCTATGCAGATGTTTGTCTTTTCTCAGAATGTGTCAACGTGTCTGCAATGCGGCTTCATTCTTGATGTTCCTGATGAGCTCAGTGTCACACTAATGAAAAAGGAATACGTCAGCCAGCCACACATGCCAAGTCTACATGTATGTACACACACCACTAACCAATGTGAAAACTTTTCTCCTCACCTTATTTCCTCTGGTCTGTCGAACATGCAGTGCTTGCCTTACCTTCAGAAAGGTCAAGTGCAAAATGGGTCTCCAGGCACACTCAACTAATTAAGCAGTAGGGGTGGAAGATGCATACCAGCTCCTGGGATACCGCAGCGGTTGGTAGCCACCCTCAGGGGTAACCAACATATTGTTTCACATGCAAGTGAGGTAGGGATTTGCATTACATTCTCATGCAAAATATAAATGAACTCTATATTATTGTAGGAAGGAAAGCAACTGTATGATATAAAATGTACAAGTCTTTCTTCTTCCTGTTTAAAAATGCAAAACATTTAAAACAATTTAATTGATTAACATATAATTCAGTGTCTCTGCATTTTGATACAGTTACCATGAAATGAAGCTTTAGAATGTAAATGGAAAAGTATGGATCTGTATGAAACTCATATTTGATTTATTTTGCAGCATGCTATCCAGGCTTAGCCAGTTTCCGGTTTTCAAAATCGGAACAATAAGACGAATATAACTTAAAACTTCTTTTTTTTAATTGTATGTAAGGAGAAAAAGGCTGCAGCCGATCTGTAGCAGATGTTTGCTTTGGTATATTGGTGCATAAATAAGAATTATATGAAATAAAAGCAAATAAAAAGCAAGTACTGTAACCACAACTGTAAGTAACAGTCCTCTTTCATACCAAAATTTTTTATCCAAGTGCTTCTACGTTACACAAGCCTGTCCATCACGAGCCAGATGTCTCTTGATTTAATTTAAAATGTTACAGAATAACAGAGGTACGAACATTTAAACTCTCTCACAGCTACGGTCCTTCGGCTCTGTGTGGCTGTGAGCTCCATGAGCTGGCGTGAGGACCAGGGGGGCTCCGTGAGCTGACTGGCCGGCTTGTTAGCTAACCCTGCGGCCGGGTTATTAGCTTTCCCCACCACATTTGCGGAGCTTCTCAACTCCGAAAACGTTCAAGTACTTTTTCAGTTCGCCAACAATTTTCGTAAAACTGCCAATATTTGAAATCTACACAGTTGATATCTCGCCTCGATACTTGTTAGAAGTGATGAAATAGCATGTGAAAATGGTAAAACAAGTTCTGTTGTTGTCCTCTAAAGAGAAGACTGGTTGTTGTGCCCATAGACATATATAGAGATAGACGCCCCATCGACCGCTACTGCATACTGGCGCGGACAAGCCTTGGGGCTGCCATCTTGAACCGGTCACCTGCTCCACTCAGTGTAATCTGTTTGGCAGGTGCAATGAGCTGTCAGCACATTTAATTAATCATACCGAACTGAATACCGAACTGATTTTCAGGCGGGTTTTTTTGCTGCAAAGGTCATACATGTAGCTATGACACAGGATACAGTTCATAGTGAGATCAACAGTAATAGAATATTCTGATATATGATATAAAGTGACCAGATGTCCGAGATCAAAACTGTATGACCGGTTCAAGATGGCGGCCGCATTTCTTGCGCCCAGCAGCCAATAGGACGTCTACTCAAGGTAGACTGGTCCGAGGCATACTGGAGATTTTTCCCGAATCCAGGTATTTTTGGCATACTGCAGATTTTGCTTTTGTTTGCATACTGCATACTACATACAACATTTGGGCCAAATCAGTACGTACTACTAATATAGTAGGCGATTTCGAATACAGGCTTAGTCTTTGTGCTAAGCTACTGTAAGTTAGCCAGCTGGTGGCTCTAGCTTCATATTTACCATAAAGACAGGGTGGTATCACTCTTCACATCTCTCTGCAAGAAAGCAAAAAATCTAACTATCTTTTGTCAGTGATCTTTTTTTGTTACCATAGAAGATTGTGCTGTTACTTCCAAGACATCTGCTAAACAGGATTATATTCAAATACTATTTTGCTTGAAAATCAAATTGGAAGACAAACGATAAAAACATAAACATAAACAGTCGTAGCATGATCAAAATGGTGATGGTGTGATGATGAAGAATTTTAAGTCTGTCCAGAAAATTGATAAACTTTTCTCCGGGAACATCAGCTATGACCTTACCAGAACTCAGGAGGTCACTAATGGAAAGTTGAATGACAATTTTGTGATTTACCACAGGCCTGCAAGACCTCCCTGAGCATGAATAATGATGATTGAGAGTCAACTCTGGCAACCTAAGCCAGTTTAGTAAATTAAAACGTGCTTGGCCTGTTCGTGCCTAGGATAACCTGATACCACCGTATTTTAAAGGACATCTCATATGAGCTCTGGTTTCCATCAAGTGGAGCTCAGGACTCATACCACTAAACAATACCACTCACAAAGGACAGAGAGACTGACTTTGCAATTTTGAAATGGACATATCATGTCAACATATAATAGAAAGGGTTGGTTGGAATGCTACAAACTCACATACCCTCAGAATGCCTGTGTGTGTGTGTGTGTGTGTGTGAGAGAGAGAGGGAGGTACCATGCACCCCACCCATTTTTACACTCTTCTCAGGGAAGAGACAAACAGACACATTCCTGGTATTCAAAGATCACTGAAATGGACACTACCTTTTTGATTTAGATTTTTCTCATTAATGTATTGTGTATATATATATATGCCTACAGACTAATGGAATCTGGAGCTGCACAGAGGGTTTCCACCAAACCCTCAAAGGAAGAAACCCTGTTAAAGCTCCTAAGCTGCTGCTTTCAACTTAAAGAAGCTCCAGTCTGCTTCAACATCTGCATCCTAACGATA